TAATTACGTCCATTTGAATTTATACGAATCTACCAACGAAACAGAGATGAACGGAGCGCGCTATTCAAAGCGCGTGACGGGTCCTACACAGCTTAGGTAACGGCCTGACTCGATTGATCAACCCATTAATCAATTACCCGCCCGCATCAGTCCCGTTGCCTCATTCGAAAGAGTTCGCTCTTTGTTTTGAGGCTGACAACAAACGGGGGGTGCTCCTTCGTCCGGGCGAATATTTTTAAACGAGAACAACGCGCGTATGCAGCTTTCTTTCGGGAGTATAAGCATATGTATGTATATATACAATAAATGCGGCGAGGGATGCGCTGGAATTTCCAATTTGTCACGCTGCAGCTGGTTTCGTTCGCTGCCAAGTGCAAGATAACATATGGGCCCGTGCGCGCATGAAATTATACTTTGTCTGAAATTTCGTTTGCGCGTACGTATATAACAACGGGACGCAGGTGGTTATTTTTATGCCCGGTGAGTGTTTATTTTAGAACAACGGGAGGGCAACTCGAGCGGAAAATCAATGCGACGTTTCACGTTACTCCCCCTTATTATGCCAACTTCTGCAGATTGTTCATATTTCATTGTGCACGCGGTTTATCATGCGTCATCTGAATCATCTTTGTTGCGGGAATATGGTAAATCACAATTAAACAAAAATTTATATACAAACAAGTTTTACTTTTCTCTTCTTCTAACAATAATTGACAAGTAGTGTGTAGTAAGAATTGTCTTATGACTACAATTAATCGAGTTTGTGTTCGTAATAATTATTTTTTTTACTTTATGCCACCGGCAGTACTCGATGATTAACGTATACCCTATAGCTTGAAAGTTACTTTCAACAAGTTTGTTCACCTTTGCACGGTGGAGTTACACACCTATGCGCGTGAGTTTATGTATACCTACGGAAGTGAGAGGATTCAGGATCGCCAAGAAGTACTGAGTACCTAATGCACATGTGATGCTCGTGCACATTAGACGGACAAAGCTCGGTTTCCTTTCTTTTCTCGCGGCGTGTACATTTTTAGACGTACCCGCGTCATACTCTAATGACAATTATCACGCATTGGTATATTTTCATCGTTGCTGCTATACATTCTTTTTTTTACAACAAAATTAAAAATTATGTATTTTTTTGTGTGAATGTATCTTTTTCAAACATTTAAAACACGGTAATTTTCGTTCTCGTTTGTATTATTAAAATGTACTCTGGTTTCTCATCTTATTTCAAGAAAAAATGAAAGTTATAAAGTAGAAGCTATTACTTTTAAACGAAATGATTAATCTTGAATGTATACAATGTTTTAGTAATAATTTTTAAAACATGAGTAATAATTATAGTTCTTTTCACAGAAGCGTCATCGTCACCAGGTCTACTTGCGTAGGGTAGCTGGTTGGATGACCTTTGCGTATCGAACACTGTTTTTCCTTTACCGAAGGCGCAGTAAACGTCACAAAAAACGCCCTAAGGTTTAAAAAACTTTCTAAATTTCTGAGGTTTATCGTTTACTTTCAAAATTATAATTAATTTTTGACGATTCTCATCCAAGACTACGCGAAGTATATAGTTTTCAGTAGCAATTTTATCGAAAATAAAATGGTTAACCATAGTACAACATTTTTTTATCGCAAATGAATTCGGCATACTTTATTGACATAATATTTTCATTTCAAAGATTTCTTTTTGATCGATTCGCTTTCTACATTTTTGTCATTTTTTAAGTTGATGAAAAGAAAAAATCACATTATTAATTTTGTATTCACTATTTTATCGACAACAATTACAGCTGCCCTTATGTATTATCTCTCGTAATTAGAACGATGATAAAACTATGATGGGTGATTTATGAGTGGATTCTTCATTCTCTCATTTTCACGCAAAGATGAAATAAAATAAAAGCAGAGAAAAGTAGTAATCACACTAGTAATATGTTAGTTATAAGTAATTTTCATTTAATAATCTATACTTTCATCGTATCATGACTTCAGTAATAATTCCATTCACTTTTTCACCACAAAATTATTTATTTATGACATTTTAGTGAACATCGCATTACCGACCAAAGCCTTGGGTATAAATGTATCTATAATGAGTTTGCAGAAGAATCGTACTAAAATAACATACCTACTTGTTAAACGACCTCGGTTTTTTATTTATTTTTGTTTTCACGTGCCCAAAGAAACCATACCTAACAAAGAGGAATCCATTGTATTGAAAATACATCAAACAATAAGTGTTCAAGCCTTCTATGAACAAAGTGTGATACGTAATCGTTTTTTTGGCAAAAAGTACTTTTTGTTCAACAAGTCTTGTCATCATTTTAAAAGCTTTTTCTCAAATGCGTACGAGTATAAATGTGTGTGTGTGTAAGTATGTACGTTTATATGCATGTATGTATGCGTATGGCATATAAATACATACACATACTTGGACATTATTACTTTTTCAATCACTTGCGTAAAAGTTTTTTTAATGTAAATGCATTATGTTTTTACATTTCTACTTACCATCATGCAGAATTGAAAAAAATTATTCGTTATTCAAAATTTCGTTATAAAATAGTATGCTAAGTGTGTATGTGGGTTATAAGTAAAGTTTAATTGCACGTAATATCTATGGAAAATCTATCACATAAGATTTGACCATAAATACATTTTTACAGCCCGACTTTGATACTCATGTCTTAAAGAATCCCGTATACTGTGTTTTCATGGACAGTGCTACTACTCATACCTTTAAATCTATAAAATCGCCCATCTCATGTTAAATATTCTATTCGCACAAAGCTGATTTACCAATATTGCAAATTTCGGTGAAACGACCATACTTACCGAGTTAAATTTTTTCGAAGAAAGGAGTCGAGAACATCGTGAATCATATTCTATCGCTGTGTACCTTTAATTTGTGCGTGTCCGTCTCTACATGTAGATATATGCATAAGTGACTTTAAACGTGATAACAGGCTTTTAACTCTTCTTTGTTGATGTTGTCGTGATGCATCATCATAATTAGACTTGGTGTTATTTTCAGAAATCTGTACAAATATAATGGAAATGTAAACGCGTATAATTGAAAAAAACTTTTTTTTTTGGTGAGGTTGTAATTTAGTTAGTTTGTTATTAAGTACTCACATTTGTATGATATACAAATACAGGAGGAAACGAGGTAATAGTGACTCTTATTTTATCGCTGTAACACATATTATAACATTCAACGTTTATTCGCGTACCTACAATAAATATGTCGAGCTTTTGTGTTTTTATTAATTCGTTAGTGTTTACAAACTTTTTCGTGCGGCGCTTCTGTAACATCAGCGATCCAATTATATATATGGTGAACAAATTTTTATTTACTCGTGTGTGCACTCGAAATACATCTTTCGTCATTCTCCGTTGGACAATCAATGATTATATTGTTATAATATTATATTGTTGTTTAACTTTAGGGCAAAATATGAATTTTCATAAAGTTTATTTGTGTTCTATTTTTTTTCAAATCGTTCTTTAGCGTGACTTTTTAAACACCGATGTTTTTATGAAAAATTAAAAAACTTATCTGCATGGTAAAAAACCTGAATTTGTTGTGTAACTCTAGTTATTTCTGTTTTTTTTTTCTTTTTTTTTTTTTGTATTTATAATGTTACCAAGTTACAAGAAACTAACGGGTTTTTAAGATAAATCTACAGCTAAAAACAAAGATACCCCTGTGGTGTACAAAATTACATGAGTTGACTCAGCTGATGCACACATTAATTTTTGTTCTTTCTTATATTTACGCGACTCCACGTACGAACTTCACACAGCAATTTTATGTACGTATGGACAAGACGGCAATTTGAAACGCATGCTTATAAACAATGGGTGCGAAAAATCACAAGTGAGTCATACGACACAAGTTTGGCTGATAACAAAGAGGCGCGTGCAGTATTTTTTCGATAAGGTTTTTCCCTCGTCTTTTCGCTGTAAGTGCGATAACTTATCGCAAAAAAACATTGTCTGCACCTGCTGCTGCTCACTATACTACTGTCGTCGGCACATAATCCAAACCCATCCAATATTATAGAGAGATTATAGGAAGAAATTTCGTGTGAACGATTTTTGCCACATTAACCGGTTATACATGTATTTCACGTTTTTCAAAATGTTTATGATACTTACGGAGAAAAAAAAACACAAAAACCCTCGGTTCGCTATGATTTTTGACACACACGTTTTACTTGTCTGCATTAAACGACGAAGCTGTAGATCTTAAATTTATATAATTTTTTTTGTATCACACGTTTACAAAAAGAAATGTAAAATTTCCATTACGAGAAAAAAATCTGATAATTGTAGAAATATCGTTTTTTTCTGACTACAAAAAAAAAAGATGTTTTCCAACATCTGTAACATCACATCCACATNAGATTCATAGACACGTATTATACTGGTTATCCGATTCTTGAGCGCACAAAAACCGGTACGTATTAGTGTGTATTTTTATTTTGATTAAAAAAAGATTCATAAATTTATATAATTTTTTTTGTATCACACGTTTACAAAAAGAAATGTAAAATTTCCATTACGAGAAAAAAATCTGATAATTGTAGAAATATCGTTTTTTTCTGACTACAAAAAAAAAAGATGTTTTCCAACATCTGTAACATCACATCCACATTATTTTGTCACCAAAAAATCGTTTGATTATAAATTTTGGTACTTTAAGACGAAACTTTCAGTAGAAGGATTTTGGATCTTGAAATAATATACTTATTCTGTGATAACCACTACGGTTACCATGCCAATGCTGAGAAAAAAAAATTACTTTGTGACACCAAAATGTTAGTTTAACTTTTTACATTTACAGAAGAGTAATGTGTAGGTTAATTAATATGGGAAAGCTAGAATGTTTGAGAGAAACAACAATGTGTCTCCTAAGAGTCAGTTTGTTCATTGAATGTTAATAAAATTTAGTTATCGTACTCTCATGTGACAAAATTTTTGTGTTTTAGGACGATCATGATTGGATGTACGAATGGAACTCCAGGCACGAACCAGTGATCAATAAATCCAAGTAAGAACCATCATAATGTCTTATTTGTTTTTTTATTACAATTTTGGAACTCAAAGCCCAGTGTACAGCATCTCATAGCTAGCATTACCGTAGTGCATACGTACTAATTTATTAATAAAAATTCAACTGTTTCAAAATCTGATTAATTGCGTTTTACGGTGACAGTACGTTACATTTCCCTCGCTTATAGTTCTGATTTGAAAAACACAAAAGTCATTAAAATACACGCAAATGATATGACCTTTCGTTCTAATGTTATTTCATTGCTGCCGTCGTAGTATTATACGTGTCTATGAATCTAGCGTAGCCAAGTCATAGGGCCATAATAAAACTCACACCATATTTTTTTACTAATTATTTGCTATTTTTTTGTCAAAGAATTGATTTTTTTGCCATAGCCGTTTCCGAAAAACAATGGTCCTGCTGACTTGAGACTCAAGTCAGCGTAGCCAACTTAATATTTTTAGATCTCTTACACTTATCAAAACAAGCTTTAGGGCATAATTTTTTGCTAATTATTTGCTACTTCTCTAGCAAAGAATAAATTTTATTGCTGCTACCATCATCGAGTGACGATGGTCCCACTTGAGGTTTAAGTCAGCATAGCCACCGCTGTATTTCTAGACCTGTAGTATCAATTCGAATAGGATTTGCGGGATACCCTTTAGCTAGTTATTTGGAAACAGTTTTATAAAAATGCTAATTACTAAGTTGCCAAGAAGCTAATCAGGTTTAATTTTTAACAGACAATTCAGCCATAAATAGCGTAACATGTATTGTTATTCTATATGAAATGTGCATTTTTTCAACGGTATGGTTGAACTCATAATTGTATTGCGTTACTAAAAAAATTTCATGCAAGTTAAGTGGACTTAAAAAGCTCGTTTTTCATAAATAAAACGCTAATTTTCCTACTATTCAAAAGTAAATTTCATTACTTTCGAAATATTGTTTTATTATATGTAAGTAAAATAGTGTAATAATAATATATATATTGAAGGAAATAATCTTTTACTTTCATCATCTTGAAAAAAAACATATGGTTTTTTTTAATGTTTAGGTGGACAGAGATTTCTAAATCTCTTTATGATTTTTGTGTAGTACTTTTGAGATAACACAGTCAGTTAAAAATATTATGGGTAACACTTTAAGAGGACTATTTGCATACAAATTTGTAAGTTAGACATTTATATAGTTAGAAAAGACCTTAAGAAGCTTTTTTTTTATTTTCATTTATTACTGGGCTGATTTTCGTCCGAGGCGTCGGTTTGTTGTATATATAAAGAGTATTTCATTGACGTATGATGAAAGTCAGATGAAAGTGATATTATTAAATCTTGCGTGGACGAGGTTTTCAACTCAACTTGAAAAAAAACTACAAAGTTTTGATTAGTTGAATTATATTGTACACTGTATTATTTATCAAATGAGTAGTGGATTACCACAGAATTAAATTGAGAATATAGTCAGAATTTTCACTACCTACTGATTTTACAAGTATGAGCAAAAAAGATGACATAACCAGTATTTTTATCAGAAATGAATAGTTATTAAATAATTAAGACACTATACTTACTAAATCGGTAACATAGGCTCTTCTGAGCAGTCATAGTATCGTACATAAACTAAAAGTAATACTTACAGATCTAGCAAAAAAACAAAACAAAGCTTGCTTTGATGAGTGTAAAAAATACAAAAAAGTTTGAGTTGGCCACGCTAGTTGCGGTGTTTACTTATGGGGATCACATTAGTGCCTTATGAATGGTAAAGGCAAATAATTAAATTCTCAGTCGAAATATTTTTTACTAAATAAAAAACATTTCGTAAAAAAAGAGACCAAGGCCTAAGTGGATTACTGTAACAGATCTGGAGATATAGTGGATACTACGCTTGTGTTTCAAGTTAGCTGGACCATTTTATCTCGGCAATGGTAATGGCAAAAAAATAAATTCTTCAGTTAAAGTCCCGTTTCAATAGGTGTAAGAAATCCGGAGACATCGCGTTGGCTACGCTGACTTGAGCCTCCTATCAGCAGGACCATTGTTTTTTGTTAAGTGTTTTGGTAAAAAAATTATTTCAAAAGCTAAAAAATGGTAAATAATTATCAAAAAATATCCTTTAAATCCCGTTTAAATTGATGCTTCAGATCTAGAAGTACAGAGTTGGCTACGCTGGCTTCAGCCTCGAGTCAGTAGGACCACCGTCACTCGATGATGGTAGCAGCAATAAAATTTATTCTTTGCTAGAAAAGTAGCAAATAATTAGCAAAAAATTATGCCCTAAAGCTTGTTTTGATAAGTGTAAGAGATCTAAAAATATTAAGTTGGCTACGCTGACTTGAGTCTCAAGTCAGCAGGACCATTGTTTTTCGGAAACGGCTATGGCAAAAAAATCAATTCTTTGCCAAAAAAATAGCAAATAATTAGCAAAAAATATGGTGTGAGTTTTATTATGGCCCTATGACTTGGCTACGCTAGATTCATAGACACGTATTATACTGGTTATCCGATTCTTGAGCGCACAAAAACCGGTACGTATTAGTGTGTATTTTTATTTTGATTAAAAAAAGATTCATATAAATTATTCATTTGTACTTCAAAGAATTTTTCCACCTTCTAACTTCAAAATGGCACCCTTGCCGCTTGATTTTGGATTTTCAGGCGGAAAATAGTATACAAAACTCGTTCGAAAAGGCTTCTTAACGAACCTCGTTACTGCCCACGCCTTCGGCTCATACCGTAAACCTCTCGGTTCGTAAATCGAAGCCTTTGCAAACACGTACATAATATACTGTTGTGCTTCACCAAAGAGGGAACACTGACTCAGTAAAATTTTGAGTTTTCTTAAAAACATGGCCTAAACATTGTTTTTAGTGTAAAAGATTAAAATATATTATTTTAAAGCAATGTCTCACAAAATTACCAAATATAATCATACATTATCTATAGTTAACCTTAATTGTAACCTACTTAAAATATAGTTCTTTGCCTCATTTTTTTTATTATTACTATAATATAAATAAATCAAATATCATCACCCTAGATTATTTTCATTTTATAAACTTTTTCATTACAAATGTTACTACAATTTGTCACAATTAATTTTTTTTCAAACTCTTTAAACAGCTTACGTGATTGATCTTAACCAATGAATAAATATGCTTAAGTCACCACACGTAATAATGAATTGCCGCAGTGCAACTGCTCCTTTGCACCCTCGGGCCACAACTGCTAATAAAAAAAAAACTAATAAATAAAGTATAATGTCTGGTAAATATTAAGGAAATGTATTTGCGAATGTACGAATGAGCTAGCAAACAAGAGCAAAAAAAAATTACTTTTGTACAATACAACTTTACACTGATTCATGCTTACAAGAATTATAGGTCACGTCGTACTGCGTCTACAATCAAAACTTAATTTGTTATATTTTATCATAAATTGGCGTACATATTTATGACGAGAACAAACAAAAATACAATGTTAATAAAAAAAAAGAACAAAAAACAAAAAAAATCCTATTTATATAGATTTGAACCAAAACAGCATAAACAGTGGCGACGTGCAAGCTTTCAACTCTGACCACGCCGCCAACCAATCTGGTGAAGAAACAAGTGATTTTGCGAGTTAAGGACGTTCGGTAGTGATTGAATTTTCCAACGAATTTTTCTGAAATTTTGACCAGACGTTTTTATTGTTGTTACAATAAACCAGTCAAAATTTAAAGAGGTTCCTCTGTTTCGTTTTCGAGATATTGAATTTCAAAGTTAAGTCATTTTAACACTGTCGCTTATGGGAGAACTGACTAAATCACAGTTTTAAGCAAATTGGGCCAGTGAATTTGGCCAATTTTTTTATATGTTACAGATAATGTTATTAATTTGATGTATACCAAGTTTTGCGACGATCGTCTGATTCGTTTATAAATAAAAAATTAAATAAAAGCTCGACCGAAACGCAACGGCAACGTCGCAAGTGGCGGGAAATTCAAAATGTTCCAGGATGTTGATCAGTAAATATCTCAATATTATTGTAGATATTTATGCATTTACGCATAAAATACAAGCTTACGTGTGTGCGTGAGTGTATGTACAGAACGCCCACCCCTTCCCATAAAAAACAATAAATGTTAATAACACGCTATTTATTTATTTTTTTTTAATTTCAAATTTATTATTTCTTCTTAAGATACAATTTTTTTGCACATTACAAAATCACATGCTCATAGTTTGAATCACTCATCTTAGAAATCATCCTACTTATCTGACATCCCATGCTGTATGAGACTTGTCAAGTCATTTAAAAATTCAAGTATTTTATTTACACTGGTAGCTCTTTTGATTAAAGGGCTTTGCCCATTTATTCGAAACGATCTTAAAACATCATTACCTTCCATAAATTTATCAACAATAATATTAAAATCTACTTTATTTTGACTTAGATTTTTAATCACTGTTTTGGGAATGATAGACGACATGGGGGAAAAAGTTGGCGAATACATTGTTTCATCAGAAATTCTTTGAATTTTTGCAAGAACATCTTTTACGGAAAACACGTTCGTTGAAATATCATCCCATGAAAGATATGTAGCGGTTAATTTTTCTAATAAATCAATATCAACTATTGCATTATGAGCGTTTTCAACAGACAATGTCAATAAGTCTTTTCCAAGATCTGAAAGCTTATGATTTTTCCTATTCGGAAAATGTAACAAACACTTACAGCTTTATCACAAAAACATTGATACAAGAACGCTGTCGTAACCGACGCAGCACGCAGCAGACGAGCAGACAGTGTAGAGTGTGCAGAGACACCTGATGCGTGTACATGAACACTCACACATTGAAGACCCGTACGACGTTGCCAAATCTTCCTGGTTTCCCCTCACCGCGCAAATGTTTCCCCCCGCTAACACTACCGAACGTCCTTAATCTTTTCATGAGACACCAAACTAACGCGGAATGCATCTTATTCGCAGTTCCTTGTCAGTATCTGTATGGTGTAATGCTTATATACCGCGCCCCTGAGAGTATAAGGGAAACGATGCGTGGCTCTGTGGTGTAATAATGTATGCCATACCGTCATCGAATCCTCCGTTGGAATACTATAAGAATCGCGGTACAAGCAGGTATAAGCAGTACACCATACAGATGCTGATAAGAAACTGCGAATAAGATGAATCCTACGTCGTATTGATGTCTCATGCAAAGATTGACTCGCAAAGTTACTTGTTTTTTCACCAGATTGGTTGGCGGCGTGGTCAGAGTTGAAAGCTCGTACGTCGCCACTGTTTATGCTGTTTTGGTTCAAATCTATATAAATAGGATTTTTTTTGTTTGTTTCGTTTTTTCATTAACATTGCATTGTTGTTTCTTCGTGCCATAAATGTGTAAGCCGGTATGTAACAACATATTTACAATAAAATTATAACGTGACCTATATTTTTCGTAAGTAAGAATCAGTATAGTTAAAGTTGTGTTGTACAAAACTTGAAACTCAAAAATTAAGAAAGTATACATTGAATATGGCATATCGTAGTTATGTAGTAACGTAATGATGATACAAATGCAATAAAAGACAAAGATTCAAACAAGAATATTACTAGAAAAGTTTGGCTTCAAAAAAGTTTTGCTAATTCAATAAATGTGCAGCAAGTGAGCAAAATGTCGTTACCACCAAAATTATAAAATTCAATGTAGAACAAATAAAATTTGAGTTTGAATCAAAAATATTGTTGGAAATAATCAAGAAAAAGTTTGAATGTTTATTTTAAACCTTTCCATCACTTAATAGGAACAACACCCTATAATGTTCTTTATTAATATCAGTTACAAGTTTGACATATTTTCGTTTTTCTCCTTTTTATCGGGATGAAAGTTCCTACTTTCGGCGAAGTATGATGAAATGAATTTTTCTGCATACCCTCGCCTATAAAGTGCTTCATATCTGCCCTGCTCCAAAACAGATAATCAGCTCTTTCGACGAGGGTATATGTAGAAAAATAGTACCACGTTCGGAGGTTAAGATATGCCCAAGATTTCACGTTATTCGCCCTCGGATTTGCCGACGTTCATTCACGTAAAATCTACGACATTCTTAACCTCGTTCACTAGGTGCTCTCTAAATTTGAAATAGTGATTATTTACTATTTTAAAGTGAATATTCACTATTTGAATAAGTTATAAGTATACAACTTTGAAATAGTGAATATTCACTATTTCAAATAGTGAAACCATATTCACTATTTCAACCAGTGGATATGAACTATATGATATAGTTAATATTCACTTATTTGAAAGTGAATTGATTCACTTTCAAACTAGTGAATAGTTTCACTATTTTAATTAGTAAAATGAATGATATCCTGAAACTATGAAGAAAATTTAAATAAAACTGAAAAAATGTCAACAGCATCTGTAAGCAGAAGAGAATCATGTCTCTCTCTCTTTAGCTCTAGCTGCTCATCGAAAATAGTTATTAGTCGAGTCCACACGTTAAAGAACGATACTTTGTTTCATTCACGCCGAGGGTTGGTTACTTGCAGTACCTATACTCGCACTGTTGGGTACACTCACTGTACACTGCCAGCACTAGCACCCAATGCTACTCACATATCTAAGTACACTGATCCACCACTACAGAACAACACACCACATCTATACAAAACAAAACTATGATAACCTATGAACATGCTTGTCCGAAACTTCACTCGGGATGACATTTTTTTACACACAACACACATCAGTAACTCTCTTAAATCCTCGATTTCATCTTAAAATCTCAAACGAATATCTTGTATCACAATATACTCTCTAAATTAGAAATAGTGAAAATCTCACTATTTACAGAAGTGAACGACATATTGACTTTTAAAATAGTGAATATTGACTAATTTTTAAGTTGAAAAATATTTTCACTATTTGAAAAAGTGAAAAGTCACAGAAGTTAACTATTTATATAGTGAAAATCGCTGGATTTCACTTTTTTCGAGTAATAATCTCAGTCGTGTCCAGGGATTCGAACGAGCAAGGTCGAGTCCTGCCGTGTAGTGTTGTTTAAATAATTGTTTTCGATAAAAAATATGATGTTATGTTTACGTGTGGTGTCGTATATACTGTAGTTCAAGAAATTTGTTTTAAGTTTTAGGTTAAAATCTTCGGTTCAAGAGAATTACTTGTGTGTTGTGAGTGAAAAAATATCATCCTGATAAATAAGAAGACTAGGAAAAGTAATATGTTAAAGTTTCCTTAGTTTTGTTCCGTATAGATATAGTGTGTGCTCCTCTGTAGTGATGAATAAGTTTATTGTACTTATAAATAAAAATTATTAAGTGGTGGTGCTGGTAGTGTATATATCAGTGTGAGCGGCTAGTCTTTGGTGTGGATAAGAAATCAAGTGTCATTCTTTAATGTGTGAACGCTGTTGTTTTGTCATTATTTTTATGATAAATTTCTTCATAGTTTTGTGATATTATTAATTTATTAATTCCCATTTAAAATAACATTGAAAAATCTGAACTGTGCTGGTCTTCCTACGAGGCGTCGATATGGTTTCACTGTTTGAAATAGTGAATATTCACTATTTCAAAGTTGTATACTTATAACTTATTCAAATAGTGAAAATTCACTTTAAAATAGTAAATAGTCACTATTTCAAATTTAGAGAGTACACTATACTATATACGCAAACTTAACATCGTATTTTTTATCAAAACAACATCAAAACAATCCTTAGAAAACACTGGTGAACATATTCGACCTTGCTCGTTCAGCGACCCACACACGACTGAGCCGTTTTGACTCGAAAAAAGTGAAACAAGCGATTTTCACTGTATAAATGGTGAATTTTTATGACTGTTCCTTTTTTGAAGTAGTTAAAATATTTTTCAACTTAAAAATCAGTTAATATTCACTATTTTAAAAGTCAATATGTCGTTCACTTCCGTAAATAGTGAAATTTTCACTATTTCAAATTTAGAGAGTGCGTAATATACAAGGTAATAATATTACAATTTCATATCGATAATAATTTAAATTCAAAAAATATTTGTATATAATTATATGATATTTATAACTTAATCTTCAAGTTTAATGAAAAAATAATAACGATAGTCTTCGTCCGAACACGGTGGGCAAAGATAGTCTTCATCAGGCTTTGAGAGCAAAGATACTCTTCGTCCGGCCTTTTGAGTAAAGCATAGTTTTCGTCCGGACGCAATGAGCTAAGCATGGTCTTTGTCCGTGCGCTATATGCTAAGCATACTCTTCGCCCGGACGCGATGGGCTCAGATAGTCTTCGTCCAACCTCGCGAACTAAGATTTTTTTCGTCCGGACCTGACTTACGATTGTTTTCGTCCGGAGCGTCGATATACTATAAGTTGGAGATCATTCTTATATTTTAATATCATGTCCGAATAAATTTTTTTTTACCAACTGACACGTAAAAACGTTATACGCTATGAAACGATTTTTTTGGTATTTCAAAACTTTTTTTATTTTTGTTTAAAGTGTTTGAACGACAATATTAAAAATAACAAAAAAACTGAACTTTTACAAACTTTACGACTTTTGCATTTAAAATTTCACCTCAAATGTAAAGCAAAAAAGTTAAAACGAGTTTTTAGCCGTTAGGAAATAATTTTTACTCTTGATAGTATAAGGACGGTGCTGTAGAGAAAAACTTACTACACAAAAAAGTTTGATTTAAATGAGCTTTACCTCGAGCTTTACACCTTTCGTACTGAACAATTTGTTGTAGAGTTCGAATTTGTCTTATTCTTGAACAAAAACAATTTTTTTTGCTGTTTCCCTATCTATTTTACATTATTGAGCATCTGGATTGCATGATAGTAAAATATGTACTAAAAATAAGTTGTATTTTATTGTGATCTTAGTATAACTTTGTCGTAGAACACAGACCTGTTGAATGTATATGTTAAAACTTAGAGCCAAAAAAAAGTTTTTTATTCTAAGAGTGCAATAGTAAAAATGCTGACAAAATTTTTCTCTCCAATGAAAATTATCCGAATGTAATACATTAAACTTGAAGTTGTCTGTACATTATTTGAGCCCATTTGGATGACAATGACTTGTGTAAGTCAAAAACTTAATTACGTACAAACATTTACATACACATACATTATCTTATGACGAACTCAAATCACCCTCATCTCCGATTCAAAATTTGTTTTATTTAAAAAACTTACATTTGCGGTTTGTAAACATAAACAGTTTGTGGCTTTTTATTACAATAACTTTATTTATTTTTTATAAAATGTAATTAAAGTCTCAATTATATTAAAAAATACTTGTAACCATAGTTTAGATAAAATATAAGATGTGAATGACGTTTGTAACACTATAATGTATAAGGTTAAGTACGTTATACAGGCTTTTTAATATTATAAAGTTATAAAAGTTTCCACAATAATAGTAAGATCACGCAAAGCACATCCTATCTACTATGACTAATGAAAATCAAACAAAAAAAAAAGTAGTACGGATTTTGTATGTTGCAGTGCTTGTTCCGTGCAGCAGCTGGGTATGGCCAGGCGAAAAACGTACAGCATTAGAACAGCTAAGGTCGGTAAGAACGGCCTCTTCTCCAAAGAGGTTCTCTACACGCTCTTTTTGACAAACATACTATCGCTCCTCATTGGAAGTGGTTTCGGGTAAGCAGATCTATCTACAAATTTCTTTTTTATCTCAATTTTGTATTGCATAACGTGTTTTATAAATAATCAGTTATAATTTTTTTAAATTATCATCACTTACTCGAAAATTTCATGATAGTTAATAAAAAATAAAAATAGTCAACATTGTAAGTTGCAAGTTTTAATCAATTGTAACTCATAACAGTTATCAATATTTTTTTTTCATCATTTTCTTTTTGTACTTTATAACATGTCATTCTGTACGTGGAAAAAAAAAAAAAAAAGAAAAGTTAATCATTACTAACAATAGCAATCAACAACATTTTATTCTTAATCTATAATCTATAATCTATAATTTAGACTACTTTTTTTTTACTATCGGCTATTATCACTTACCGTCAGTTATTCACTAAAATTATTTTCGCGTGGGTTTACAGAGTATGGCTGACCAGGCGAGGACTAATGGTGTCGCGCGTCACCATGGAATGAAATCGAAGCTATTACACGTGATTTTTTGATGCATGTGCACCTATATAGCCTCTTCCTCTCTTTTTCCCTCGAAAATAATTCACCAATAATGGAGAAAAAAAGGAGGAAAAGCAACTCAAGAGAGAGAGAGAGAGAGAGAGAGAAAGGTGCTAGGAACGTATGCGCATTAGTTTTTAGGTAAGACTGAGTGAAATTAAAAAAAAAAAAAAAGAANCATTGGCTGTTTCGTTTACGCAGCATCCGCCTGTATGCGGAATAGCGGAATACGAATAGATGACGTAGAGGGGATACTAGGTATAAAGTATTCTTTGACGCAATCCGCAATCCACAGCTTTTTTCTGCAGCGTCGTGATCGGTTGCTACACATTCACACACGTCGCTTATAGTGATTAAAGATGGCCGCGCTAGAGGCTGCACGGCGTCGCGTGGTTACAGCTCTCCTGTACTGTAGTTCCATGCATCAGTGCCATCAGTGAGAGGCCGTTCATGTGTGAAAACTAGAAAAAAAAGATTAATATATCCAGACGGATAACAGGAGCAAGCCAAGATGACGATGTTGCCGGGGCAGTTGGCCTTCGACGAGTACGGAAGGCCCTTCATCATCCTCCGCGATCAGGATAAGCAGAAGCGGCTCACTGGGCACGAAGCCATCAAGGTGAGGTACATAACCTCTCTTTCTCTTCTCCGTTTCCCCCCGTGTACCCCTTTGATGGCTTATTTCTTTTTCTACTGTTGCTGTTTTTTCGATTTTTTTTGTTTTCTTTCATTGATCTTGAGACGAAGGCTCTCGATTAAAGGTACTTAATTTTCAATACTCTTCGAGTAAAATGGTTATGGAACGGGGCCTCCTAATCTAGAAGCACGCTACTCGTGTGTGCACTGGAGAAATGGCGACTCGGTCGTTTCTCGATGGAAATTATTTTGAGACTTTATCACGAAAGTTCCTGTACCAATTTCGATAAAATGTGAATATATTTGTCCATTTTATACTGTTTCTAATGCGTTTCTATCTGCGATAATTTTTATAATATAGTTTGAATATAGTATTTATCTCTATATGATATAAGCGAGAGGAAGTGAAGGAGAGTAAAGACGAATAGAATTGCACAAGTAAAGACACCCTTATAAAAAAAAAATTTATTAAATGTTACGTGTATTACTACTGTTTTCGAAAGTATGAAAACACTGGGCTCAAGTTCACTAAAGTTTCTTGTTTTGCAGTTTTCAGCTCGAATTAATGTATGCAGTTTGATCGAAATGTTCAATTCTGGTTGTTAGTGAAAATATTACCAAAACTACTTTTCAGATTTTCATAACAGCTTTTGTACGTTGGCATTGTCTTTCCATACTTATGGACATACATTATTTCTGAAAGTAGTAGTATGTATCCAGTGACAATCAAACGAAAATGTATAATCTCTTAATGCGTTGATTTTAATTTATAGTAAGCAACTATTTTGTAGTAACTTTCAATACATTTTGTAATACGGGCATGGCTAGCTAGGATGGAAAAAAAATAATAGAAGGGAGGCCTTCAGTGGTCGATCAAATCACCAGAAGAGCATGAATTTTGCGTTTGGGGTGAAAAGGCTGAAGATTAATTTTTATCATAAAAGAATGACAGACTGCTTGTAAGTTGTAAACGCTTATATTGAAAGAAAAATTTTTGCTACACTTTTAAACATTTCTATTAAAAGACTTAAATGATGCCTTGTTACTTTCCGCATAGAGCTACGTCTTAATAAGGACAGAAAATTGAATTTTGTAAGAATAATAATAAGAATTTTTTAACTGATAGTTTCTTATCCCCCATTTTAATAATTGTTAATTAAGCTTTTCTGACAATAGTTTTTTTAACTTTCAAGCTTAATATTGAGTAAACTTTGTGCAAATACAAAAGATGATACATTCAGTAACTTGAGTACGAAAAGTTTCGACCGTTGTGAAATAATAATAAACAAAACGTTTCCAGCTGGTTGTTCAATAATGCATCAAGCAGGGCAGAGAACCTGTATTTATATTTACAATTTAACATATGTAATTTATTGTTATAATATTATTTATTTTTATAAACGTAAAATTAGTTTCATTTAATAGTACATATGATTAAAAAATCAACCAGATAAAAAATTAAGTCGGTAAAATCGTTTTATTTAATTTTTATTCATGAATCCAAAAAAAAGTTTATGGAATGGTCATAAAGATGTGCCACGAATTAAAGTATGTGTTTCGTTTTTAATTTATAAGGATTGATGTACGTACATACATATATTTGTAAAGTGATTACAACGTGTATCATATTGTTTAAAAAGTACATATGTTTATTCTTCTGTTAGCAATGTTGTAGTGTCAAAGTAATTTGAAAAAAGTTTTTTGCATAGCATATATAACTATTGTATTCCCAAAAAAGATGAATCTTAAAATTCGCTATCTATATTTATTGATACAATACCGAAAATATGAAAAATTTTATTGAAAAAAACTCTGTAAATGTAATGAATACTTATATTATGAGTTGCTAGAAGATGAAATTTGTTCAAAATTTATTTTCTCACCTTCAAATTGGATGCACAATTGTCATCAAAGTTTCATAAAATCATGTATACCTCTTGCCCAATATACATTTATTATGTGTTTAAGTTCAAGGCTCTCATCAGGTTCAATAATTGGTCCCACAACAGGCAACGTTGGCACCGCATTTTGTGCGAGTTGTTTCAGAAATAAAAAAGTTTTGGCAGTACAATCATCTGCGTCTACAATTAATTCAATACACATTTAATCGCTTCTTTTTTTATTGCAAAAATAAGATAAAACAAAACTTTGAACATAACTATATATATAGGCTCAAAGAAGAATCAAATCTTTTTATAATTATCAACATATTTGTAATAAATATTTTTATCATTCAATGTGTTGTGGTCCATCTATTTCTGTTATTTCTTAACTACTAACGTTCAGAACTCAACCCGATTTTCATTGAAGCATTTTGCCATCCTTTTCCTTACATTTTATATGTAACTGAAATTGCTAAATATAATCAAGACGTATATTCTTAAATCCAACCTATACTAGTGGATACTACGTATAACGCACTTTGAATCATCTAAACTGTTATTTCTAAAAACGATTCAGATTTCTCAATTTCTTATGAAATTAGCCAAGTAGCGCTCTTTTCAGCTCGTTTAACCCGATGAGAGGTTCTATTACGCACTCGGCTAACGAAAAAAACAAGGAAATTTTATGTTTTGAGATCTGAGCGTATTTCTGTATGATTATACCACGTGATTTCACGTTGAACGGTATCTTTAAAACAAAATTTTATCGTTTTTATTAAAAAGATATCGATATAACAATGTTTAACTTTTGGTACCGAATCCCGCTACTCTCATTGGCTGTTTCGTTTACGCAGCATCCGCCTGTATGCGGAATAGCGGAATACGAATAGATGACGTAGAGGGGATACTAGGTATAAAGTATTCTTTGACGCAATCCGCAATCCACAGCTTTTTTCTGCAGCGTCGTGATCGGTTGCTACACATTCACACACGTCGCTTATAGTGATTAAAGATGGCCGCGCTAGAGGCTGCACGGCGTCGCGTGGTTACAGCTCTCCTGTACTGTAGTTCCATGCATCAGTGCCATCAGTGAGAGGCCGTTCATGTGTGAAAACTAGAAAAAAAAGATTAATATATCCAGACGGATAACAGGAGCAAGCCAAGATGACGATGTTGCCGGGGCAGTTGGCCTTCGACGAGTACGGAAGGCCCTTCATCATCCTCCGCGATCAGGATAAGCAGAAGCGGCTCACTGGGCACGAAGCCATCAAGGTGAGGTACATAACCTCTCTTTCTCTTCTCCGTTTCCCCCCGTGTACCCCTTTGATGGCTTATTTCTTTTTCTACTGTTGCTGTTTTTTCGATTTTTTTTGTTTTCTTTCATTGATCTTGAGACGAAGGCTCTCGATTAAAGGTACTTAATTTTCAATACTCTTCGAGTAAAATGGTTATGGAACGGGGCCTCCTAATCTAGAAGCACGCTACTCGTGTGTGCACTGGAGAAATGGCGACTCGGTCGTTTCTCGATGGAAATTATTTTGAGACTTTATCACGAAAGTTCCTGTACCAATTTCGATGTAATGTGACTTTATTTTTGTTCTCAAGCTAATGTAATGCACTTCTGACAATCATAGTTTTTGGCTAAGTTTCCATACCTAAATTTGTCTTAAAATTGCGTTGTAAGTATCATGCCCATAAAAGGAAGCGTTGTAGTGATGGAACTCTTCAACGTTGGAAACGCGAATTACAATATTTTCTGCCAATTATTCGTCTTGGTCTAACTTTTTTTTTGTATTAATTTACATCATGCTGGTTATTTAATCAAGTACTCAAAAATTTATTCTTACAACAAAAAAGTTCTCTTAGAATTTGTTTATGCATTGAGTGTGTATTGTTTCAGGATGTAAAATCTTATTCCCTATTTTTTTTCTTGTTACCTCCTTATTTATTATAAAACAGCGTTTATTACAATTTCTACAGTTCATTATTTTTGCTCGATTGTTTTTACAGTCACACATCACAGCAGCTCGTTCTCTGTCCAACATACTCAAGACTTCGTTGGGACCCAAGGGCCTTGACAAACTGTTGGTCAGCAGCGATGGTGATGTCACAGTTACAAATGATGGTGCCACCATTCTCAAAAACATGGACACAGACCACGAAATTGCCAAGCTCATGGTTCAGCTGTCACAGTCTCAGGACGATGAAATTGGTGATGGTACCACTGGCGTTGTTGTCTTAGCTGGTGCTCTTCTCGAGCAGGCGGAGCAGCTCCTGGACAAAGGTATCCATCCCATTAGGATAGCTGATGGCTTCGAGCTGGCTGCTCAGTGTGCCATCCAGCACCTCAACGAGATTGCTGAATCTTTCCCAGTTGACCCACAAAATCTTGAGCCACTCATCAAAATTGCCATGACCACTCTTGGATCCAAAATGTAAGTATTTTTAATATCAATCGATGAAATGTGCATGTGTTCGTAATATTTGTAGTATAGTAAACGTAAGTTAAACGTTCTTAACAGTTTTTATATTTGACTGTCATTTTTCATTGTTACTCGAAACAATACTTGTAATGAATTCGTTCGAAGAAAATTTATTTGCCCTATGATGAAAAAAGCGCAACAGAGGAGTGGTAGAGAACCAGTAGTATCATTGTAAACAACTTTTATTTACTTGAAATATTTCATCATTATTTGGAGTTCCTTTAAATTTTGTTGAAATTAAAAAATGTTATAAAAAGTTGCTCGTTTTGAGAATAGGTTTTTTGCAGTTACTCCAATGATCAAAGATTATGAGATCTGAGGGCTTTTTAACTACTCACGTTGTTATTTAAAATAAAGATATATATGCTAGAAAATAATTTTATGAAAATTGAATTTAAGCGTCAACAAGTGTCACCGTCAAATGGCCGAAATTGCCGTCAATGCAGTTATGGCTGTGGCAGATTTAGAAACAAGAGACGTCAACTTCGAGCTTATCAAGGTTGAAGGTAAAGTCGGTGGTCGCTTGGAAGATACTATGCTGGTTAAAGGAGTTATTGTTGACAAAGATTTCAGTCATCCTCAAATGCCCAAGGTAAGGTTTGTTTTAATAAGATAAAATTTCAGTGCCTGTATCTCTAGAGCATAGTGTTTTTCATTATGAAAAATTAATTTCAGCGTTTAGAAAACGTCAAACTGGCTATCCTAACATGTCCATTTGAACCTCCAAAGCCAAAAACAAAGCATAAGCTTGACGTTACCTCAGTTGAAGATTACAAGGCTTTAAGGAGCTACGAAAAGGAAAAGTTTACCGACATGGTCAAAAAAGTGAAGGATGCCGGTGCTACTTTAGCCATTTGTCAGTGGGGCTTTGATGACGAGGCCAACCACCTACTTTTACAAAATGAACTTCCAGCTGTTAGATGGGTTGGAGGCCCGGAAATTGAAGTAAGTTAGATGAGTATTAGTTCGAGAAACTTATTCATTATAATCTGCAATAATTTATATCTGCCCTATGATGAAAAAAGCGCACAGAGAAGCGTGCGAGTTATGTGAATCGCGTCACTTGTTATTTCTTGTATTTTCATTGATTACATGAACTGTTATGTCTTAAACAATTTGAAGTAAATGCCATAAGTGAACAAGTGTAGCGACGCTCTGACTTGGCTGCTTCAATGATCAATGATTATGAGATCTGAGGGCTCATTTTTTAAATAAACTAAAATTTAATACCTGGTACGTAGATTGTTGATAACTTGACTCTCAACTAACTTTTTTTTTATCAATTACAGTTAATCGCCATTGCAACGGGTGGCCGTATCGTGCCTCGTTTTGAAGAGCTCACACCCGAGAAACTCGGTTACGCAGGTGTTGTCAGGGAACTTACGTTCGGCACAACCAAAGACAGGATGTTGGTGATTGAAGAATGCAAAAACTCCCGTGCTGTTACGATCTTCATTCGGGGTGGCAACAAAATGGTGATTATGGAAAATGTTTATTGTAACTATATTTACAGCAAGGAGAATTCCAGTCGTGCCATCAATGCACTCACTGTTCAGACACCTTGCAAAATCAACGCGTTGGAATTCTCAAAGTAGTTGAGCGATATAATTATTGTTGAACTCAATTCAAATGCGACAATCTTTTTACCATGCAAATATTGAATACCTACGACACATTCCCTTCCTAAATCAGTAATTAATCCTTCGTTGTAGATTGTTGAAGAAGCCAAACGATCGATCCACGACGCTATTTGTGCAGTACGCAACTTAATCGTAAACGATAGGATCGTGTATGGTGGCGGTGCCGCCGAGATCGCGTGTTCGTTGGCCTGTGCTGCCAGCGCTGACAAAATCAGTTCCATCGAGCAGTATGCATTCCGTGCCTTTGCCGATGCTCTTGAGGCTATTCCTATGGCTCTCGCAGAGAATTGTGGTCTTTCATCCGTCACTGCATTGTCCGAGGTCAAAGCACGACAGGTTGCTGACAAAAATCCAGCTCTCGGCATCGATTGCATGAACTGCGACACTTGTGGTAAATTTACATTTTCATAGACCGTATAATGTATGGAATGATTTTTTTTTTTTTTTAAAGAAAATAAATCATCAAATTTCGTTTGTTTCAGATATGAAAGTGCAAAATGTCATCGAATCGCTTAAGAGCAAAACTCAGCAAATTCTCTTGGCCACGCAGATGGTCAAGATGATCTTAAAAATCGACGACATCCGCTCACCGGCTGATGCCGCTGGTTACTAATAAAGCCGTAACTTGGCAAGAATTCATAAAATTGTTACATAGCATATAAAATAAGACATTTTTCTCGTGCCGGTTATTAACACGCTTTATTTAAACAAGTTTTTACTTTATACATTTTGCTACACATAAAGAGCGCCTTTTTCCACGTTAGTCATTTCAAAAATATTTCATACATCAATAAAAGTATTAAAACCCATAATAAAAAAGTGTTTGTCTTTGTAATCCTCATTTTTTAAACAAAACTTATTAAATTTTCAAATTAATGTAATTTTTTGTGAAAATATTTAGTCAACATAAATGCTGCATGATTTCGCTTAGTTCCAGTGCTATATAGGTGTCTAATTTTTGGAGTAAATACATGATATCTTTAATAAAAATATTTGTAACAGTAAAGGTTCACTCCTTTTTTTCTTTAGTTTATTGCTGAGCCTGAAAAACATACGTGATAAAATAAATAACTATATGTATGGAGCGCGCGGTGGCTCGATCGGCTAGGTCGTGGATTGGCACGCGGGAGACCGTGGTTTAATTCCCGGCCAGTGCGACTATTTCGGGCAAGTACCTCTGTGATTTTTCACATGTGCTTTTTCACCAGGCAATGCCCCTCGAGGAGGGTTTAGGCGACCTTCTCGCAGCATGATTGCCTTATTTCCTCCTACCCCCCTCCCAGTAACGGGAGGTCTCCCTCATCCCTCTTCCCTTCCTTCTCCCAAGTGCTAAGTGCCCTCAGTGGTGCCCTTTATAGGAGCCGGACGTAAAGCACTATAATATAAAAAAAAAAACTATATGTATGGAAGTGAGACGACAAAAAAATTATTAACAATAATAAAAATTATTCGATGGTGTTCAGAGCTTCGAGCACATCGAGCAATCCCAGAATCATTGAGGTATAATTCTATATTGATAGTCTTAGCTGTTAAAACAGATGGGTGATGAAGTTATAACTGATTTGAAACGACTCAAAAAATTGGTTTCGAAAAAAAATTATTTTTGATGTTATGTCTATCTCAAATACCATCTATTAAAAGTATAAAAACGATTCCACACCAAAGTTATTTGGTCATAAAATAGAAGATATTTATTAAAAGTGCTTTTAAATCAATTTTTCGAAAAATTACTTTTGTTTTTGAATTGATTGATTTCAAGATATTTGCAAAAAAAATTTTGCAAATTACGTCGGAGCTGAAATAAACAACCTTTTATTACATGCTACATGATGTTCAAATGAAATGGTGTCTAGGTATGTACATTTTTTATTAATTTCGATTCTTCAATGTGCAGTAATCAATCGATTTCAATGCAGTAAAATTATTTACTGATGGATTCAATTATATGTTTGCGATGGATAGCACACATCTAGTCACTCTACAAAGTAATTGCTCAATCCTGTCCCATTTTTAATTATAGTTTAAGGTCAATATTTTCTTTATATCAAAATGTAGAAATCGTTTAAAATCGAAGAATAAAGTGGTTTGAAGGTACTCATTTTCTTTCTAAATGTGTTGGGAAACATGGCAACAGACGTATTATGTATGATGATACATTCAATTGATCACATAAACTTTAACTTACCAATTAATTTTGTCTTTAATTATTATTATTATTATTATTATTATTTATTATTATTTATTATTCGTCGTACATTCCAAGTTTTTTTATTTGCAATCTTAGGTTACCACTAGCCCCAATTGAATGACGCGCTCTTTTCGATGATAGTGAAAAAAATCCAATGGAAGCTAGAGATTGGCGGCCTCCTCTTGATTGGCTGATTGGCTCTAAAAAGCGCGCACTTTTGGTATCTATTTTAAAATGTGCAACAGAGATACCGGTATCGATGAACGCGTTGTCACATCATTTGTTGCTAAAAGTCATTAAGTACTTAAGTATCCCAAATAGTACGTCACCCACGAAGTGAAAGTCGTGCGCCTGCTTGTGGAAAAAGTTACCAACGGCTTTCATTATCAAGTAGCACTCGTCGGCGAACGTGGCAGAGAATTGTTCGACAAAAACTACTAATCAGGTAAGTGCTGTTTATTTTTAGTACGACCCTGCTGCTAAATTTTCTTATTTTTATTCATGCCGAATGCAAATTCGTCATTCATCTATGAGGACGAGACACATTAGTGCAAAGCCATTACTTTCTCCGTGTACGGCTCTGTTTTTTTGTTGACGTGAATTTTTATTAATACCCTTAAAGTTCCACTTTTTTAAATCATCCAATTCATATCATGCATGATGTAGATTTTTATAATAGTTTTTTTTCACAGCTTGATACATTGAAAATTTTAAGTATGACAATGTGCTGTATTATTTGTATCTAATACTGGATTTAGTTTTACTATTTAAAATTAACTACAATAGTTTTTCAAACCTTGAGGTTAACAAAAAGCCACGAAACAAATTTTAGAATCGTATATTTACTTTACTAAATTTTAAAAACTAATTTATCACTATACTGCTCATTATGTAGCTCAAAAACCTAATTATTCAATAGAACAGTGGTTATCAGTACTTTGTTCAATTCTCTAATCTGAGGAAAGTAACGCGTGTCGCAAGGCGTATAGGTTAGAAAAGGCGCATGGATGCATATAGCAATATATTTATCGTACGTGTCTGAGGCCATTACGTCGAATACGTCGATACCCCCGGTGGTAATTTTTTTAAATGTTATTGCAACTATATCTCACTCTTTTCCGCCAGTATGTTGTTTGCAATATATACGTATTGAATTTCTACTCCTTTGTCAAAAATTTATAGCTATAATTATGCCTATAAATAATAGCTATTATTATAGCTACAGTAGCATATATTTATAGCTATAATCAACAACAACGTATCTATACATTTTTGTGAATAGTAGTTGTAAAATGTAGGTGTTCAGCTATAAATTTTTCGCGTATTTTAAGGAAAAAGTATTTTTAACTCTCGTTTTTTTAAAGTTATATCAGCCATGTAAGGCGTTATTATGTGGATGATAACTTAAAAATTGGGGTATTCAAGAACTTTTGAACATTATTAAAAAGTTTATATGAGCAAATAAACTTATTCTTTTTTTTCTTATTCGAAAGTACTTGAAGCCCTCAGTTTTTAAGTTGTCATCCACGTAATAACGCCTTTTAAGTTTGAACTAACTTTAAAAAAAATAATCAGTTTTAGAAATAGTTTTTGTTTAAAATTCGCGAAAAATTTATAGCTCTAAACACTTACATTTTACAGCTATAATCCACAATAATTCATAGGTACCTTGAAGTTGACTTTAGCTATGGACGTAAGTCATTATAGCTACAACTATAAAGCTATTATCTCTAGGACACTCTAGGTGTAGCCATAGCTATAAATTTTTAACTGAGCCCCTATTTCTAATCTAGATTTATAGTTCATCCAGTGTTTTCTTTTGTATTATCATATACATTTATGTTCATGGTATATGCCTTTTTCCTTATTTATTATATTCATTTGAATATTACAAATTTTTTTTCCTTAATCTTACTTTGTAATGAAAAAATGAAGTCTATTCTGCCACTGGGGGCGCTCGTCATCACATGATGTACTCCGTATGTCTTAGTATATTTATATTTTATGTGAGTGCTTATACGCATCGCATATATATATATATATATCGAGCAGTATGCATTNTATATATATATATGTGTGTGTGTGTGTGTGTGTGTGTGTGTGTGTGTGTATACGAAATACACGCGAGTACCTCATGTGATGGCGAGCGCCCCCAGTAGCAGAATAGCCCCCATTATTATCTGCATTTGGACATACCTAATTGTTAGAATAAGAGTTTGTATAAAGCGCCATCTCTGCTAGTATATATGTACTATGCATACGCGAGCCCCGATCCCCGATGCTGCGCATCAGACCAGTTCAGTTGATCGCTAGTCTCTAGCCAGTAAAGACCTATTTTGTAACAACAGCTTGTAAAGACGGTATTACGACAGTTTATTTTAAATAATAATAATTCTGATTTCTCTACAAAGTGTTTAGTGCTTTTCTCTTCTTGTTATCCTTCCTGGCTTTTTCCCGAATCCTGAGAGCCTCGCGCAGTGGATTGAATAGTCAATACTAATGCTTAGTATGTAGTGCTGTCAGAAGACAAGAAAATACAATATTTGCCTAAATCTTGTCTTGTTTCTTGAAACAGATTAAAATCAGATATCGTATTATTTTTGGGTCTTTCTCGAAATCGGTAATATCATTCTTGTCTTGATTTGTACTCGACTTTCTTAATAATCTTCATTTTGAGTTGTCTATATATATTAAATGTTACTTCACATCTAAAATGTTTTTATAAATTCAAATGAATTTTTAATTTAACTGAAAATTTTCATGTCATGGTTCTTAATTCATACATTGATGTCTAATTAATACGCATTTACTGTAATAATCACTAACAATCTTACAATTCAACATGTTTTGGAAAATTCACGTACATTTTAAATCCTAACTAAAGATTAGTATTACTTTTCGTTAAAAATTACATCACGATAATATAACTTTAAATTTTCAAAAAGATTTTTTAATTTGCCTCACATTTTCGTTAATTAGTATTATTCATTAATAAAATATGCCTCTATCCAAGAAAGCACCAGCAATATGCAATGAGAAAAACATTTTCTCAGGAGAACAAGTATTAATGATTAAAATCTCAACTATTGATTATTAGCATTATTTGTTTATAAAGTCCACGGGCGAGCAAGCATTGATAATTAGAAACAAAATTGCTTATAAGTATCATTTTACAACAGAATTTGCCGTTCGGTGACTTATTTCTCAATAAATTCCTATGACGAGCAAGTATCGGCTATTATAAACTTAACTGTTTTGTAGTATGATTAATAAACAAAATATGAACTGCTAGTCACCGATACTTGCTTGTTGACACGTACCTTTTTCAAATAAATAATTGTAATAAACCGTTGGGTTTGCTTATTACTGATACTTGGGGATCTTGGGGCAAATTTAATTAGTAAACAGTATTAAGAAATAATTAGTTTTCCAATAGTCAATGTTTGCTTTACCTAAGGGCACATTTTATTCATGATCAATACTAAAGAACAGGTGGGTTTTTAATCGGCGATGCTCATGCTCATCTAACAGCATATTTTCTTATTAAATAATACTGAAAAGTAGCTAGGTTTCTAAACACTAACGCTTGCATGTCCAAGGAAACAATTTATTTATTAGTTATAC